ATGTATTTTAATACAAAAAATTATTTAAAAAGTAACCACAACTATACTACACAACAAGATTTTATTTTTTTTAATTAATTTTCTTAAACTAAATTTATTTTTTGGATTTATATAAATTTGTATATTTCACATTCTAACTACAGTTTAGCTCCTGATGGCTAAATAAGACTTATCCCTCATCCACTAGAACTATGGATTAATTAAGTATTAATAAGGATGAAGGTATTGAATTGGACTCACAACAACCATGGCTGCAGACGTCTCTTGAGAAGTGATATAAACAAGGGATTAGTTCACTTCGCAAGTCATTCAGTTATTTTTTTATTAAAAATAAAAAAAATAAGTTTAATCAACTCAATTAAGTTCCATCGTGTTAATATTTTATCAAAATATCCAATTAAAAACGTAGCTCAAAACAGAAACTAAGTATTAGATTAGCTTCGAATGAACTCACTTGACTAGAAGAGTTGGACCACCGAGCTAATAACATTTTGAGAAGAAATTAATATATAAAAAATACAGTATGAGGCGTCGGTATCATCTCCTCATGATGAGATTAATTAGAAATTATTAAGAAATAAATACCACGCACAAGCTTCCATGTCACAAAACAATAGATTGTTTCGTGGGTGCCATAAGGTTGTGCTTACCTAACACTAGACATGGATTCCTTGCTTCTCTTTTCCATCCCTTATTTATCATTTTCGTTTTGATATCTTCCTTCCTTCAGCTAATCAAGGGTGTTTACCGCCCATGTTGGACTGTGCTTTTTAAAATATTTAATTTTTTATTACTTTTATTGTTTTTTTAGTATACTTACTGATTTAAAAATAATTTTTTTAAAAAATATTTTTTATATATATATTTAAACAAAAAATATTTTAAAAAGAATATTTTAATGACCCGCTATCACAAGCATTGCTTTAATGGCATCAACCACCCATTATTTTTTTGTTCTCATTCAATTAAAATTCACATCTTACCATCCCTAGTAACTTTAATAACATGTTTAGATGTGTTTTTTTTTTTAATTATTTTTCTATGCTTTTAATTATTTTTGTTTTGTTTTTGTATTATTTTAATATAGTAATATAAAATTAATTTTTTTTAAATTATTAATTTTTTATATTTTCAAGTAAAAATTCTTTTCAGTTATTTTATTTTGTTTTTTTATTTATGTATATTTAGGTTGGGCCAGCCCAAACTTCGGGGCCTCAACAAAGTACAAAAGAGGTTGCATTTCAAAGTTCAGCCCAATATTTGTTCATGGGCTTTCTTGTAACATAAACTTGTGACTTTGTACTGCTTTTCTAAGGATAAATAAGTTCCAGGCCTTTAACATGGACCTGGCCCAAGTATAGCTTAGGGAATAGGGAATGGAAGTTTATTGTTTTTGGCAGGTGGATGCCACTGAGTTGATAGCTAGCATTAAAGATATTTTGAGTCCGATATATATATATTAACAAAAAAATTGTTGTTTTCCTTAAGGCCACAGTCAAGGTAATTAAGGCATAAAACCCACTATTGTGTTGTCCTTTTATTTATTATTTTCTTTTTCAGTGAAACGACATTTAAAAAAAAAACAATTATATAGAAAAAATTCCATCATTTGTCTTAGACCGTCTTAAGTGTCCTTCCGGTTTCATATTTGTTGGATATTTCAATATAATTTTAATTATTTTTACCATAAGAGGTAGCCCCCCAAAGAAGAACTTAAATTTGCAATATCTTGATCATATAATTATCCAATTTTATTTTGAGTTATATATTTTAATCAAATAATTAGACGATGGCTGCAACGTTATCAACTCACTAAAAGAGAGGCTATTTGATCATCAGCTGCAGAAACTCAACAGCAGGGAAAGACCTTATTGAAATCCCATCAAAACAATTATCACTGCTGAACCAGCAACTAAAACAAGAAGATACCAACCATCTAAGTGGTGGTCAAGTGGTAAAAATTTGGGATTAAATGGTTTATTCTATCTGTGGTCTTAAATTTGAGTCTTTAGTTGCTCATATGATGACCACTAGAGACTTACATGGTCATTAACTTTAGAATCTGTGGGATTAGTCGTGGTGTATGCAAGTTGACCTCGGACATCCACATTAATCTAAAAAAAAAAAAGAAGACACCGAAGTGCTGTCAGGATGAAGTTTTGTGCACAGAAGAAGCATATCGATCTCGTCCCTTCAAGACATTAACGAACAATCTTAATTAGGGCTCAACTGGGAGGTATCCAAAGTCAAGTCAAGGAAGGATGTTGAATTGTTGACAGATAAACTTGTTTCCAAATCTAGTATTTAATTTGTTCATGCACCTCTCACATGTGTTATATATATAAAAAATTAATTTTAAATACATACTAACTCATGTAAAATAAAATTATTTTTAAAATAAAAAAATTTCATTATAATTATTTTTTCAAGTTTTTATATTTTGAAACTGTTTTATAATAATTTCATTAAAGATATTTTTTTCTCATTATATACAATTAAATTTTCATTCATCTATTTCTAAATCATCAAGAAATAAATAAAATTATTAGCAACAATTATTTATTGACTTATTATTTTATAAAAGTGAGTTAAATATAAATATTAATATATTTTTAATTTGTTTTGTTATGTCTCTAATTTTTTGAGTTGTTTAGTGCTTTATTTTTTATCACTGGTAAGTTAATCACCATTATTTTTCATATGAAATTCATAACAAAATACATATTAATTCATCAAAATTCATTTCAATTCATATTTATATACATATAATATTATCTATACACATTAATTTAACAAATTCATAAATTATCATAAACTCTAACATTTTTAATAACTAATTATTAAGGAATAAAACTAAAATTAGACAATAGAATAAATAAAAAAAATAAAAAAAATCATCTAAAACATAAAGTATAAAACATAAAAAGTTACTTAACTAATTAATAGTTTAGGAGTTGAAAAGAAATTTTATAAAAAAAAAGAGAGAGAGATTGAAATAATAATTCAAGAAAACAAATTTGGATCAATTAGTAGTTAATAAAAAAATTAAACTTCTTAAGTTATTATATTAAAATTCTAATATAAAAAATATTAAAAAAAGAGAGATTAAGGGAACAATTGCCCCATTAATTCCCATCTGGCTCTGCCACTGTGTCACAGTGACTTTGTATTTGCTCTACAGTAGTACTATTTGTATATGAATCCGGTTTTTTGTAGGAAATCAGTAATTGTTTTAGGCTTAAGATTATATATATCATAGACCGACTCTTAGTGTCTATAAATATAAGAACACACACTGTGAAACATGCCCTCTTGATTTGTAATAGGCCGCTAGAGATTCTCCATCATTGTTTCTTGTTGTGTCACAAACCCTATCGGCTTTGCTTTTGCTCTCTGGACTAAAACATGGCTATTTGGATCAAATACAGTTCTTGTGTAAACTTAAAACCACAAGAAAATCATCAAGAATCACAACGACACATCAATGGCCAGCCCCTGCACGAGGAAGATTCGATGTTGCGTGTATTATTCTCGCTGTATAAGTTTTACTTCCTTGGTAACTTAACTGATGGGTCGATGTTCACAACAAGACCGGTGAAAATCAGCAGCAAAGAGACTTGCATCCCTATCACCATTTCATTGGTTGATGATCATGATGAAGAATTTAAAGAGATCTTGACAGTGATGGGAGTCCCTGGAAGGAAGCAATCGAAGATCCTAAGAAAGATGGCATCGGTTGCCCGTAGCAAGGGTACTTGCAGTGGCGTCTTCATGGATGTTGAATTATTGGTGGGGACCTACCAGGAAATTACAGGGGCTGATATTGCTGGAGCTGAGAGGGAGTCAATGGATGTTGAAGCTGGACAAATCCCGGCCACCAAGTCCTCTATTGATGCATTGGAAAGAGTGGTTTTCGTTGGGGGTTGAATCTATCCAATCGCTGAATTCAATTGCCAAATTTAGTGTTCATATTAAGCATGATTGCTGTCAAAAATCCAACAGCAACACCAGTACTGTTTTCGGCCCTCAATTTTATTGCAATGGCTTCATTTTTATTTTATTTTTATTTTTATAGGAAATGAGTGTACAAATAAGTTGAACTTGCAGTCCATGCTAGAGAACTTTGCTCCTGGCCCATGATCTATTAATATTTAAACAATCTCCATTACATTTACGTGGAACTGAAGTTTAGAGTGTACATATTGTTTAATTGATGCGCGCTGCTGTGCTTGATTTCATTACATGACACCAATTTTTTTATATAAAAAATAATTTAAATTCCATTGTAACAAACAAATTTGCTAGTATAGTTCTTGTTTTTCATATTACTATCTTTAATTAAAAAAAAACTAATATTTTGGTATATGTTATTTATTTAATAAAAACCAAAAGTAATCATAAGACATTCTAAAAAAAAAATAAAATAAACAACTTAAAATAAAGATAAAATAATATATCTCTAACTAAAACTACTTTTTCTCCTTAACATTGTAATTGTTTTTGAAAATATTTTATTAAAATATTTATTTTTTAAACAACATTCTATCATTATTTTAAATTAAGTTTCAATTAAAAAATATAACATTCTAATAATTTTAATAATTTTAATGTAATTGCATTTCAAAACATAAAAGTAATACGATAGTCACATGTTGTCGAGAGAAACTTTTTAACAATATTGTTAGATTTAACTTAGCGGATCAACCTTAAAATTTTTTGACTTTACTCTTTACATAGTTTAAGTTTTAATTAAATGATTTAGAAGTTTATTTGATATAACTTGATCAATTTAACGGGTCTAAAAGTAACCCAAACAACTAGTAAAAATATAATTTGACTAAAACCAAAACTTAAGATAAAATAGGTTTTCAAAAAATATTGATGCAAAGACATCTTAGATTATTATTGGTTAGCTCGCAAAACCCATAACTCAAAGTACATATTTGTTGCGTTTAATAATTTTATTTTTATATTATTTTTTATTTAAAAATATGATAAAACAAAATAGATAAAAGCATGGAAGCAGCCGAGTAATATTTTTAAACAGAATGCTTGTGAATATATATCATGATGGGTGGAAGAAGAAGAAGAAGAATGCTTGTTAATATTATTAAATGACTACTAAAACCATATTAAAATAAAGTAAAATTTTATTTGTATTTAATAAAATTATATATAAGATATATTCTCAATTAATTTAAGAATTCAACAAAGTAATATATGTAATATATAATAAATTAATTCATTCTAAAGAAATTTAATATTTATTTAAGGAAGAAAAACCTTAAAATTGACAGGTTCGCCACTTTGGGTAGCCTAGGTCTAATACACCTAGCCCATTATTAATATGGCCAATCTCAAAGTCTTGGAATCTCAAGCTCTTGAGCCTGGTTTTGTTTTTAAAAAATCATATGGTCAACCCTTTTTACTTTTAATAGAAAGAAGATACATTATTTGCTTGACAAGTTTTTTATCATTGAAGATAAGGTTAAAAAAATAGGCTAAAGTATTTTGAACTTAAAAAACTGGTTTTTAATCAATTTTCACCCTAAAACATCTAAAATTATTTTTATAATCTTAATAAATTAATTTATCAAATTAAAAAATCACCAAATCAATTAAAAACATAAAATTATAAAAAAATAACTCACTCAAACTCGATCTATTTTTTTCCAGCAGGATATATAGTATATAAGTTATTCCTCAAATAACACTCCTCGTCAATAATAATAATTTGACACTAATCTTGGCTTTTTTGTTAATAAAATCTCACTAACCTTGATTTTTTTGTTAACAAAATTTTATCAACTAATATCCCCCCCTCCCCTACTATTTTTGGCAATACTCTCTCTGATATAAGTAAAGTAAAGGACATAAAATTTTAGATTAAAATACATAATTGTTAAACTATAGAGATAAAAAAAATTATAAAAAATCTTAAGGTATTTTTTATAAAAGATGCTAACAGCATAACAATAATAAAAAAATAGCTGCATGTTTATTTTTTAATATCAAATTTTATCTTATCAAATTGAACATTAGTTTAATGCTGAAATATCTTTTCAACTCCTTAATTCAAAATAACTTATGAACTTAAAAATCTCATTTTATCTAATTCAAATAAAATTAAAATAATAATAATTTGATGATCAAAATAAATACTCATATGGCCAAAAAAATATCTTAACACTATTCTAGTGAATAGTGCAATATGAGAGAATTCATATTCAAATCACCAGAGGATGCATGCGCGTACGTGTGTGTTTGTGTATATATAT